GGGCAGTTAAAATGAGATGGTTATGATGACTTATGGGGTACTCGCAATGCATGCTGAACTGCATCCATCACTTTTTGGAACACAACTGGAGTACTGGGTAGATCTGGTCACCACATTATAGGAAGGTGGTGATTGCTCCAGAGAGGGAGCAGAGGAGATTTACCAGGGTGCTACCTGATCTGGTGGGCCTTCGCTATGAGGAAATATTGGATAGGCTAGGACTACTTTCCTCAGAGGGATAAGGTTGAGAAGGGGACCATATAGTAAGTGTATAAAATCATGAGAGACATAGGTAAGATGAATAGGAAGGCACTTTCTCCATTAGAATAGGGGTCATTGAACAAATGGCATAAATTTAAGGTAACAGACAGAAGGCTAAGAGACTAGTGGGAGAGAATTTTTTCAGCCGAGGTGTGGTGGGAATCGTGAACTCTCTGCCTAAAACAGTGGTTGAGTCAGAAGTTCTCATAACATTTAAGCAGTATTTAGATCTGCACTTCAGTTGCCTTAGCTTATATAGCTAAGGGCCAAGACCTATGTTCAATTTCAATGTCTTATACTGAGATTATGCCTTCTGATCCTATACTCTCCCCAAGGGTAACAACTCACCCTTATTTAAGCTTAGCATTGTCATTTCTGACCTAACTTCCTCTTTTCTATTTTGTTTTTAAATTGTGGCAAATAACATTCAATGGAAGTTAAAAGATACGTATGAAGACGCAATCAGGATATCAACATTTTGCAAAATATTGTAGTCAAAATACTTCCCAGCTAGATATTTTTCCTTAAATCTATTTTGGTTATTCTTTCAGAAAGGGTTAAAGGCATTTAAACAAAAATTGCCTGTACAGCAAAGCTAAACCACTATCGTACTACTAGAGCTCAATTATTCTGGTCAATTAGTCAATTTTATCTGCATTTCTCCATCAAGTTTCTATCTTTTACGAGAAATACGTTCTCTACTGGTCAATGCAGTCTATTTATCATTCTAGTTACTGCCATTTAAGTAAATGAAAAAGGCCAAACAAACACAGCCATATGTGCTTCAACAGTACTTTCACACTAATTGGGTTTATTCCATATGGAGTCAAGTGGCATTAAACAAATCATACACACATTGTTATCTGCTTGCTTCACACTGTACTGTTGGTTGAACTAGATTCAAAATTCAAGTCATCTAATAAGGGCCTAGTTCCAGAACTTTGAAGACAGTCAAATTTACCCAGACCAATGAAATGAAACTACACTCCATTTTCAATAAATTTTAATTTGATAAATTTTTCTAATAATTTTGATGCATGATTAGCATTATGGAAGAAACTGTGCTCTTTCTTACTGATCAAATTAGATACATGCTGCAATACTAATAGCTACATATGCACTGCATTTGTATGTCCATTGTAAAAAAATTCAATTGAATAAACTAGCTTACCGACATTTCACTAATACAGTATCTTTAAATGAAAGGGAAAAATCTTCCAAATCAGACTAATCGAAAGGAATTTATAATCATAAACTGCCATTAAAACTGTACTTTTTCTTCATAAGATCAAAGATCAATTTAGGAGAGAAAATCCAGTTGGCCCGTATTAATCTATCCATTCAGGAAATATTCTATAGCTCAACTGTTACAGCATCAAATTAATGCTCAAGCAATGTTAACAATTTTACTTTCACAAACACGCCCATTCCATTTGCTGATCACTTGCCATGTAAAGAACAGCTCGTATTTAGAGTTGTTAAACGTCGAGGTTAGTTGCAAAACGCTTCACATCAAGCAAGAATGGGCAAGGGAATTTTAAGAATACTTTATAAAATGAGTTTTAAGAAGAAGCGTAGATCAATAAAGGCAGTGATTAGCTCAGCACTAGATTTCTTGATTTGTCTTTGGCTACCTTCACATGTGCCCTTACCTTCCTATTAACCAATTTGGAAAACACTTGGGGCCTCTCTCAGAAATCCATGCTTCCCCATCTTAGCTACACACCGAATAGTATGAAACACACCATTTTGCAAATCCTAATTCACTCCTATGAATAGGGATCAGCCCCATTACTTTTCTCTACTTTGCCTGTCAGTCACAGCAGTCTGAACTGGATACATTATAATCCAATCAAAGCAGTATACAGGTTAAATACAACTTTCTACATACTTTATTTTGGATAGATGGTCGAGAAAGAGAGTCATACAGCATGGAAACAGACCCGTTGGTCCAACTCATCGGCGCCAACCATACAGTCATGGTCAGAGTGAGACAGCACAGAAACAGATCCTTCAGTCCAACTCGTCCATGCGGACCAGATATCCTAAATTAATCTAGTCCCATATGCCATCATTTGGTCCATATCCCTCTAAACCTTTCCTATTCATAGGAATTTCACTGCTTGTTTGTTTATCTTGTACCGAAATCGGACGTCCAGAGATGCTCGTTACTTCACAGCCAGTTAACTGCGAAGGTTCATTGCTCCCTTTTTCTGAACTCGACAGGAATTTTCAAAACAACCTCCCAGGTGGTCGACTGCTCTCTCTCTTTTCTCCCATTTCCAAGTATCGTTGTTTTGATTTTTTTTCTCCAATCTCCAAACAAAGCAAAAGCTTCTCAAACAGTTACTACTGCTTGAGAAATCAAGGCGATGAGCTCCAGCACTAAAAAACCTCAAGAAAAAACAGGAGCAGCAGCTCCTACAGCCATGATTTTCTCCCTTCCGCCATTTTGGCTAGACATCCCCATTTGACATAATCCCATGTGCCAGCATTTGGCCCCTATCCCTCTAAACCCTTCCTATTCATGTATCCATCCAGATGGCTTTTAAGTGTTGTAATTGTACCAGCCTCCACCACTTCCTCTGGCAGCTCGTTCCATACACGCACCACAATCTGCGTGAAAAAGTTGTCCCTTAGATCCTTTTTAAAATCTTTCCCTACTCACCTTCAACCTCAGCCCTCTAGTTTTGGACTCCCCCACCCTCGGAAGACGACCTTGGCTATTCACCCTATCTATGCTCCTCATGTTTTTTTTTTATATAAACCTTTACAACGTCACCCCTCAGTCTCTGACGCTCCAGGGAGAAAAGCCCCAACCTATTCAGCCTCTCCCTTTTGCTCAAACTCTCCAGTCCCAGAAACATCCTTGTAAATTTTTTCTGCACCCTCTCCAGTTTAACAACATTTTTCCTCTTGAAGGGAGACCAGAATTGTACAGTGTTCAAAAGTGGCCTCACCAATGTCATGTACAACCACAACAGGACTCCCAACTCTTATACTCAATGTTCTGACCACAGGATGCATACAAACGCCTCCTTCACCATCCTGTCCACCTGAAAATCCACTTTCAAAGAACTATGCACCTGCACCCCGAGGTCTCTTTGTTCAACGATGTTACCATGGACCCTGGTAATAACTCTGTATGTTCTGCCCAAGTTTGCCTTACCAAAACGCAACTACACATTTGTCTAAATATACATACACTGGTCACAGGCCTCCAGTCTGAAAGCAACCCTCTGTCTTCTACCATCAAGCCAATTTTGTATCCAAATGGCTAGCTCACCCTAGATTCTATGTGACGACCTAACCTTCATAACCAGTCTATCATGCAAAACCTTGCCAAATGCTTTGCTGAAGTCTATACAGACAACATCTACTGCTCTGCCTTCATCAATCTTCCTCAAAATACTCAAGTTTATGAGACACGATTTCCCACCACAAAGCCATGTTAACTATCCTTAATCCATCTGTATAAACCCTGTCTCAGAATGCCCTCCAAAAACTTGCCCACCACTGACTTAAGGCTCACTGGTCTATAGATCCCTGGCTCTTCTTTACAGCCTTTCTTAATACCACATTAGCCAATCTCCAGCCTTCTAGCACCTCATCTGTAGCTATGGATGATATAAATATCTCAGCAAGGTGCACAGCAATCCCTTCCCACAAAGATCTGGGAAACATCTGATCAGGTCCTGGGGATTTATCCACCTTTATGCGTTTTAAGACCTCCAGCACCTCCTCTTCTGCAATATGAACCCTTTTCATGACATCAATATTGATTTCCTCAAGTTCCCTGGCTTCCAACTCCTCCTCCACAGTAAATACTGATGCAAAATATTCATTTAGTATCTCAATCTCCTGTGGTTCCACACAGACGGCCACATTGATCTTTAAAGGGTCCTATTCTCTCCCTAGTTTACCTATTGCACTTAATGTATTTAATTGAACCTCTTTGGATTCTCCTAAAGCTATCCCCTCTTTACCCTCCCGATTTCCTTCTTGATTATACTTCGACTGCCCTTATACTTCTCTACGGATTCACTCAATCCCAGCTATCTGTACCTGGCACATGCCTCCTTTTTCTTGACCAAAACCTCAATTTCTCTAGTCATCCAGCATTCCTCACACCCACCAGCCCTGCCCTTCACACTAGCGGGAACATACTGCCTCTGGGCTCTCGTTATCTTATTCTTAAAAGCCTCCCACTTTCCAACCATTCTTAACCTGCAAATAACCTCCCCCAATCAACTTTTGAAAGTTCCAGTCTAATACTATCAAAATTGGCCTTCCCCCACTTTAAAACTAAGTTTTTGATCTGTTCTATCCTTTTCCGTAACTATGTAAAAAATAATAGAATTATGATAACTTGGCCCAAAGCACTCCCCATTGACACCTCAGTCACTTGCCCGGTCTTATTTCCCAGATTTTTTTCATTGACCTTCCAATATCAAACAATCTGCCTGAATGCCTAAATTTTTAGTCTTTCCCCAGTTATTTCAGCATTCTTGATGATCAGGTAAAAGCAGAGATATCATACAGGAAAATATTGTGGTTTCTACAATGTTTCAATGTTGTGCTATTTTTAACAGTGTGTTCACTCTACCATTTCCTTGCGATAAAAAACAATGAGCCTTGGCTGCAGACTAGCATTGACTAAACAGTGAATTTTGCAATAATCTTCTTCATTTAAAGAGAAACTGACAATAAATTATCTTGAGTAAAAGGAAGGCAATTACCATCTAGTGTAGATTGCAATGGCCCTATCCTTCCCATTCGGCGCATCCTCCAGACATGTCTAGCTGAGGGCACATACAGCTGAGTGACCTGGTAAGAGATGTGACAATAAGTGACCATTAGTCTTCCAACTTTGGTGGATTTTGAAAACAATAACTTCACAACTGATGCAATTCCAGGAGACATTAAAATGTAAGAAATTCAGGTTGTCTGTAAAGGAGAAGTGGCACTTCAAATAATCAATTCAGTATTGACAACTAAAGTGACTGCAAAATGAAAGCAATTAAGATAAGTAGTGCTTAATTTGAGTGCATTTGAAGAATTTTCCAGTTTGCTTAACTTCCACCTATATTATACAGCACAATCTCACCAAGTAGCATTTTTTTTGTCAGCTGAACATCTGACAAGCATGGAAACAAACTATCAGGGCCTAACAGGATAAATCCTGATCGTGAGGAAATGATCAAGGCTCATGAAATTGTATTTTACGTGTCAACACGTGGACAGGTGCAAAAGAACTGCAGAATAGATTAAACTGTGGTACTCATTCTAAAAAGGAAGACAAGAACTAATTAAAGCAATTACAGGCCAGTTAATTTAGTTCCACCTTGAATTAAATCAGGGAAAATTACAAGAATGCCCAATTTCAAATGATCACAACACTATAGGAAAAAAAAGGATGCCCAGTGGATTGGCAAATCAACTCTGACTGACTGAGACATTGACCTAGTGAAAGCAATAAGCAATACATCTCCTCATATGACCTGATAATTCTCCTTCTTTCTCCCTTCTTAAATGGGAGTGACATTTATTGTTTTCAAGTCTGTACGAACTTTTCCAAAGTCCATATAATTTTGAAAGATAACCACAAATGCATCCTCTATCGAGCCATATCCTTCAAAGCCAAGATGATGCTCCACTGGTCCAGGAGATTAAGAGACTTTTTCAAGCATAACCTTTTGGCTATTTCGTTTTTCCAGTTCCTCAGTTTCATAAATCCTTTCCTTATCTGGTAATTCTGGGAGATTTTCTGCATCTTCTTCCATGTAGACAAAGTAACTGTTCTCCATTATAAATTGTCCTTTGCCCACCTATAGTGGGTTAACATTTGTTCTAGCTAATCTTTTCCTTTTCACAAATCTAAGGAAGCTTTTAACATCGCTTTTATCTTCCTCAGTAGTTTATTTACAATCTTCATTTCCTTTCTGAATCAGTTTCTTGCCTTCTTCCTTTGCTGGGTTCTAAATTGGTCCCAAATATCATACTTCGCACTTTTTCTGGATACTTATAAGCCATTTTAGTCATAAAGAAAAAGGAAGCATATGTAAAGTGTAGGAAACGGAAACCAAACACTGCCCTTGAGGAATATAAAGGAAGCAGGAATTAACTTAAACGATGAATTAAGAGGGCTAAAATGAGCCACGAAATATCCTTGGCAAGTAGGATTAAGGAAACTCCCCAACCATTTTATATGAAGATTAGGAGTGAGAGGATAACTAGGGAAACGGTAGGTCCACTTCAGGACAAAGGAGGGAGTTTATGTGTGGAGCCACAGGAAATGGCAGAATATTGGCATCAGTATTCCCAAAGAGAAGGACACAGATGATTGGAAGATTAGGGAGGGGTATATTCATATTCTAGACCATGTTGATGTTGAGGTGGTGGTGGTGGTATTGGGTCCTTTAAAAAGGATGAAGGCAGATAAATTCCCAGGGTCTGATGGGATCTATCCTAGGATAGTGAGGAAGGCAAGGGAGGAGATGCTGGAAACCTTGGAGACCTTTCCATCCTCTTTAGCCAAAGGTGAGGTCCCAGAAGAGACTTGGAGAGGATTGACTTGCATTTGGAAAAGAATGAACTTATTAGGAACTGTCAGGCATGGCTTTGTGCTGGGGAGGACTTGTCTCACAAACTTGAATGAGGTTTTTTGAGGAACTGATGATGGTAGGGCAGTGGATAGTGTTTACATGGAATTTACTGAAGCATTTAACATGGCTGATTGAGAAGATTACATCATATGGCATCCAAGGTGAATTGATAAGTTGGATACAAAATTGGCTTGGTAATAGAGGCATAGTAGTTGTGGGAGGGGTGTTTTACTCTGACTGGAAGTCTGTGACCAGTGATGTTCCACAAGGATCAGTGCTAGGTCCTCTGTTGTTTGTAATTTATATAAATGATTGGGATGATAATGTAGGTGGTCTGATTAGTAAGTTTGCAGATGACATGAAAACTGGTGGAGTTAGGCATAGTGAAAAAGGTTGTCAAAGGATATAATAGGATAAAGATCAGCTGGAAAGTTAAGCAGAGAAATGGTAGATGGGGTTTAATCCAGTCACATGTCGATTGGAGGTCAAATGAAAGAAGGAAGCATATGGTAAGTTACAAGACTCATTGGAGATTTGATATACAGAGGGATCTTGGGGGTCAAGTCCATAGCTGCCTGAAAGTGACAACACAAGTGGGTATTGTGTAAAGAAGGCATACAGCATGTTTACCTTCATCATTGGGGCACGGAGTATAAAAATCAAGGTGGTGAGTCATGTTGCAGATGTATAAAACTTGACTTAGGCCACGTTTGGGATATAGTGAAAATAACAAATATTGGAGATCACAGCTGGTTAGACAGTACACATGGAAAGGGAGACAAAAATCAAGTTGCTGGAAAAGCTCAGCAGGTCTGGCAGCATCCGTGAAGGAAAAAACAGAGTTAACGTTTCAGGTCCGGTGACCCTTCCTCAGAGGAGAGTCCTTCACAGATGCTGCCAGACCTGCTGAGCTTTTCCAGCAACTTTGTTTTTGTTCCTAATTTACAGCATCTGCAGTTCTTTTGGTTTTTATCCATGGAGAGAGAACAAGCTAACGTTTCAAGTCTAGATGACTCTTCAGAGCTGAAGCAAAGTGTGGAGGGGGCAGCATTTATGCTATAGTTGTGGCAGGGGGTGGTGATGGGGTGTAGCGTGCTGGGGGAGGAAAGATGTTGATAGCTCAAATGAAGTGAGAATAGCAGAACAACGGTGTGTCTAACTGCCAGACTTGAAAGAACAGACTGGAGCTGGCGGAGGGGAAAGAGAGGCCATGGTGACGGAGAATGTAACAAGTGTTGCAACCAGAACTGCACACAATAAGGAGAATGCGGAGGCTTTAGAAAGGGTGCAAAAGAGGCTTACCAGGATGTTGCCTGGATTTGAGTGCATTAGTTATCAGGAAAAGTTGGACGAACTTGAATTGTTTTCAGAAGTGTTCCAGGTAAAGGGGCAAACTGATAGAAATAAATAAATAAAATTATGGGCGCCATGCATGGGGTGGATAGACAGTCTTTCTTCTCTCCCCCCCCCCCAGCCACACCCCCCCACCACCACCACCACGAAGGATATGTAGATTACTGACGGGCATAGGTTTAAGGTGAGAGGAAAGTTTAAAGGAGAACTGCAAAGCAAGCTTTCTTTTAGTTTACACAGAGGATGGTGGATTCCCGGACGATGCTGTCAGGGGAGGTGGTAGAAGCAGAAACGATAGCCATGTTTAAGAGGCACTTAGACAGAACACGAATAGGTAGGGAATGCAGGGATATGGACCATGAGCAGGCAGATGGAATTAGTTTAGAACAGCATCATAGTTGGCACAGACATGATAGGCAAAAGGGCCTACTGCTGTACTGCACTGTTCTATATTCTAACACTTTTTATTTAATGCAACATGTTATTTATTTTGTTAAGCACAGCTGATTGATCTTTCCCTCCATAGGTTTGTGTATTAGAGGAATTTAGAAAGTTAGTGGATGACAGATAAAAGATTCCAAGACATTAAGAATAGGTAAGGCTGGAGAAGAATTTAAGAATTTAAGACCGGGGACACAGTGTAAAAGTTAGAGCCTGACCTTGCAGGAGTGAAATTAAGACTGGTGACAGGTGTTTGAACCAGTCTTCAGCAAACACCAACTGAATGTGCAGCTAAGACCAATCAGCCCATTAAAGCATTGGTTGGCTGGAGTAGAGTGGGAAGAATTGGAGCCCTCAGGAACAGAAGTAGTTTCCATTAGTGAAGTACAGTGAGCAATCAATGAGAGTGTTCTGCAGCAAACGCAAAAAGTGCTGAAGAAACTCAGCAGGTCTGGCATCATTGTGAAGTCCCTAAGTTTGAATTCTCTCAAACATTCAAGCATCAGGCTGATCATGTCGCAGTTACATTGTTTTGATTTTTTTTTGAAAAGCTTTTAAAGTAATAGGAAAGAGCTGACTAATAATCGATCCCCGAAGTTACATTTCAGAAAATCACTTCATCTCCTGCACATCAGCATGATAAATACGTACCTTATCTGCTCGGATATTAACTTGATCAGAAAGCCAGTGATCAGGAGGACAGAATTGCCTTCTTGTGTCCCTTGATTTTAGCATTTTCACTAAATTAGAGATCACCTATGTGGAAGGAACATAAACAAGTGACTTATATACCACTGTTACATACAGGTTACTTCAGTTATATTCCTCTCATTACTCAAGGAATATAGAATATTTACATCATGAAATCAAGGAATATAGAATATTTACATCATGAAGGACATAAATCTGATCACATGGAAAAAATTGAGGAGTTAAGAAAGCAAGATAACAGCAGAGCACTGACTAGAACAGCTTATGAATGCTACTGCCTCCAAGATTACATGGTACACAGTATCACTTCATGCTATCTTTCCATAACACATTTGCTTTTCTCAATATTATTATAAAATATTTGCTGGAAAGTGACTCAGCATTCACCAGCAACTTCTCAGCCAGGACGCCTGACCTCAAGTCCCAGCTGCTCCATAGGTCTGTAATAACATATCTGAACAAGTTGACTAGAAAATTTCTATGAAGAGCAGTTGCAACCAGCCCTCAAAAAAGAATATAAGCAAAGCCAATCTCTAAATATTCAAAATCATCCTTTCCAGCAGCCCAAAGTTGGTCAACACATCTCCAGTTAAGCGGGGTCTTAAGAAGGGTCCGCCGAAACGTCAACTTTCCTGCTCCTCTGATGCTTGGCCTGCTGTGTTCATCCAGCTCTACACCTTGTTATTCCAGTTAAGTAATATTGCAGCTAATTGTAGCACATCCTGTGGCTTAGATGATCATTTCGTACAAACGAGAAATCAAACCTAGCACTTTCAAATGGGTGCACTGCTGAGTATCAAACCAAAAAATGAATTTTCAAAATGGATCTTTGTATGCGAGAGTGTCTATCCTTTATCAAATATAAACTCCCACAACATATTTAATATTTGCAGTCATGTCACAATGTAAACTGTACCATGATATTGCAAATGGTGTTGCAAATGAGAAGTGGAGGTCCATTAAATATAATTCTATTCTCAGTCTGTAATTTAACAGATAGGTCAGACGTTGGGATAGAATGGAGGTTGGGGGCTGGGTGCTGGAAGGGGAGCCAGGGGATGGGTGGGAAGTTTATTTGAAATTGGAGAACTCAAATGTTGAGTCCTCCTTTAGGGTGCCCAGGTGGAAGTTAAGGTGTTGTTCTTCAAATTTGTGTTGAGATTCGCTGCAACACTGGAGGAGACCGAGGACGGATGTGTCAGACAGTGGGGGGGTTGAAATGGGTGGTGATAGGGAGGTTAGGTTGGCCGTTATGGGCCAGGAAAGATGCTCAGTGAAACAGTCACCTAGTCTATGTTCGCTCTCACCGACGTAGAGAAGACAAGGAGCACCCCAATAGACTAGGTTGGAGGAGATGCAGGTGAAGCTCTGTCTCACTTGGAAGGGCTGTTTAGGGCCCTAGGTGGAGGTGAGGGAGGTGGTGTGTGGGCAGGTGTTGCATCTTTTACGGTTATAGGGCAAAGTACCGGGTGGGGGATTGGGGGGGGGGGGGGGGGGGGGGGG